AGTGTTAATATTCCGTGAGTGTAAATTCAGTGAATATCTAAATATAACGATTTCTATTTAACGCCACGTGTCCTTCATTATTTCATTCCTTGTCGCCGAGATTCCGATAAACGGAAGTGTTCGCGAGGCTAAAGAGGCAACGGGCGTTCATCATAACTCAAGTCTTCTTTTACCGAATAATTAACAGCCAAAGCAAGAATTCCGATCGTTTCTGGGGGCAAGGTGTTGTGCGTTATCCGCACTTACCACAAAGAAAACATTGGACTTCGAGCACGCGGTAGCTCATGCATTCCAACGCGACGCCAAACCATAATGCGTAATTGGATCGCAGCCGAATGCAATATCCTTACCCTAACCTTTTAACTAAATACAATATATGCCTAGAGCCTCTGCCGAATGCCTAAGGCACGGAAGAATCGCGCGGGTCGTAACAACGCACTTCGGCGACTCGAATACGACCTCCACGTGGCCGCGATTACGCGATCATCGACGAAGAAGTGACTTACGACGGCGAGTACGAACTCCTCGTGCACGATTGCCTCTGGAGCGCCTTACCAGCCCGTGCCCGTAGCAGCTTACCAGGGAAGCAGCTTTCGATCGCATATCTCCCTCGAGGAGTATCTGCGCAGAGTAAACACCGAAAGGTAAGTGAGAATCTTACATTGAGTTTTATTCCCGATTGCTTTCGCGTTTTCCCATCGGGCATACGTTTACACCAGTGAAATATCGAGTATAAAGAAATTAGATGTAAACAAATATAAGTGTACTCGGCGCGCTCAGGATTCTTTCGGGTTGCATCATTCGCTTTGTTCGCGTCGACCGACCGCCGCATAGTTGCATCACTCGACCGGAAGGGTTTTACGACCGACCTTTTTTGCCTCCCTTGCCACTTTCCCCTAAGGCATGCCGGGTTTTGAGCCGCTTTATCGTTGCGCACGGAAATATTCCAGTTTCGAAATACCATTTTAACGTTGAATATTCGCCGCGTAATATTAACACCCGTTATTTGACGTGATGTGCCCGCCTTGTTTTCTCGAGCCAAGAGATTCGCGCACCCACCCAGGCGCCGTATACAGGTATCGTAAGAGTACGGTGCGTTGCCTTACCACATTTGGATATCGACGCGTAGACGACGCTATCGCCGAGTCGTTCCCTAACAGTGCCGAATATCTTTGCTTTCGATGCAAGGAAGAAATACCGGAGGGAACTC